ACATGGGGACCACAGACCCTCCTCTGCAGAGTTATCACAGGGACTAGATGGGCTGGTGGATCTAAATCACCCAGCACAGTGTCAGGCCAGCTGGAAAAGGCTGCATGGAAGGGATGATATCTGGTATAACCCATCTAAAAGGTGCAATTTGCACCCCCCAGTTCCTGAAGGAAGGCACACGGCCAAGAGGAACTGAGCATTCCAGTCCCTATTTTGCATTAGTGTGACCTTTTTATACTCTCTGGGCCCTCATTCCTTCATTTGTAAGATAGGGCTAATCTCCACTTTGTGAGGTCCTCCTGAGGATTGGGGCAATGTCTAGAAAATGCTTAGTGCAGAACTCAGCATGGATCATAAAGTGAGGTAACATCTCCTTCCCAGAGGCTACTGAGATGCTATGGCCAAACCCTGGGTCAGGCCCAACTTGCTGAGGACTCCCTTTCAGCTTCTTCTTTCATGTTTCCTGTAGTTACCTTCAGAGGAATGAGATAAAAATAGCCAGCCCATTCCATGTCTTCACCAAGACAAGTCAACTCTGTCTTTTGGGGTCAGTTCCCCCCCACTGTGCCCATGAGGTCTTTACCTAGAGTGGCCGATGATACAAGGCTGCTGATATGGCAGATCAAATGACTTATGGGCATGGAGCGATGAGAATGGAGCTGGCCTTTAAATGGCCCTGACTGGGAACGGGATGCCCCATGTATTAGTTTTCTATTGCTGCTCAGCAAAGGACCTCAACACTGATGGGCTTAGCACAGCACACATTTATTATCTTCCAGTTTCTGTGGGTCAGGTGTCTGGGCATGGTTTAGCCGGACCTCTGGCTCAGGTAGAGCCACCCCAAGAACTCTACCTGATCAGCAGGCTCCACTTCCAATGGCTGTTGGCAGACTACACATCTATGACCATTAAATCGTTCACATAGCTGTCAATCTTGGTTTCATGCCGCGGGTCCTCCACAGGCTGCCTGAGTGTCACAACATAGCAGCTGGGGAGCAGAGACAGTGAGAACAAGCCTAAGGCAGAAACCACTCTCTTTGTATCCTAATCTTGGAAGAGGCAACCAGTCATTTTTGCCATATTCTGCTCATAAGGGGGGAGTCATTAGGCCCAGCTCACACCCAGGGCAAGGGGACTACAGCAGGCCATGGCAACCAGGGGGGCATCTTTACTGCCTCGGTGGGTGGGTTGGGGGAAAGGTGCCATCACAACTTTTTTATTGAGTGGAAAGAGCCCAAACCCAATGCCCTTGGCTCAAATGCTGTCTGTTCTGTGTAGGATGGGGCTGCCCGCCTCCTGCTACTGTGTATCTGCCTCCCTGCCTGTCAAATGAGATAATAGCCTGACCCAGCCAATCTTGCAGGCTGTTTCGTCTATCAAAAGATGGGATGGCTGTGCATATACTTAAGAAAGCCTCTTGGTGTGAAGACAGCATTATCATATTATTAGTGTCGGTCTTGGGTGGACAGTAGTAAAAATAGATTCATAAAATTCCCACAGCATGCACCTTTGGATACATATCCCTAGGGCATACTACCATTCACCCCAATCACCCTTCCTACCCCGACTCTGCCTCCTCAGCTGGCCTGGGCTAGGTGATGTGCATTCATTTATTCATTCATTCACTCAGGCCCTAGTATGTTCAAGGCTCCTTTACCATGTCATTTTCCTTAGTAGGAACAATTTAGTGACATAGACATTATTAAGCCCTCTTTACAGATGGGGAAACAGGGGCTCGAAGAAGCCAGATACAACCTGCCTGAGCTCACATGGCCACATATGATTTGGTCCAGATGTTTCCTCCTTGGTCAGGCCACAATGAGCCCTCTGATGACGTGGGCACCACCCTCACCCAGTCACACCATAGCACATTGCCTTGCTTCACTTGCATGTAACAGATGCCAGTATCTGAGATCATGTTTCTACTTTTCTTTTCTTTATTGTTGTTCCCACTCTCTCCCATGAGAATATAAGTTTAGTTTTTCATCTAATGACCACTGTATTTTTAGTGTCTAGAAAAGTGTCAGGCACACACCAGGGGTGCAGATAACAGCTGTGGAGCGAATGAATGGATGAAAGAATGAATGAGATGGGAAGCCAGGTCTCTAGTTGAATTCTGCCTGTCTCCAAAATCCACAGTTTCAGGACCCAGGGCCTGCCCTCACTGTCCTTTAAAACTCTTCCCTTTGGTGGTAGCTTCTCAGGAAATCTGCCTGAGCTCCCTGAGCCACTTGGATCACAGTGGACAGCAGATACACTCAGAAAGTAAGTTTCTTGTGCACTCTACTTGGTGGTCAGATGGCTTGTCCGAGAACCAGACAGCTCGGGGAGTGAGCTTTGCCCTGCCTTTCCAGTTGCCTTTCCCAGGGACCTCCAGCCGCCTAGATCACACAGTGACTTTTAAAGCCCCCCTGAACCCTGGAAGGAGAGCTTGATTAGATCTTCCCTTGGGGCCTCTGTCTGGTCAGTGTGCTACCACCACCCTACCTCAAGGTTTTCCCTGAGGGAAACCTCCCCTGACTGCCTCTCCCTGCCTCCCACCATGCTCTGGTTCACAGCATGCTCAGGACCAGACCCACCCATGATTCCTGGAAGCCAGCAGAGAGAGCCTAATGCATTCCTAAGGGCTTTGTGAAGGCTGGGAATGTCACTGGGGACACTGCTGGAAAGTGCTGCAATCGCCCTGGCCTGTTAGCACTGGCTTGCTTTTCGAGTTCTTACCCAAGAGCTGTTCTTCCAGGTTCCCTGTCAGCTGCCCATGACACATGCTTCTCTGGACCCCAGCTCCCTCAAGAGGGATGAAGTCCAAGGCCTCCTTCTACCTGAGGCACTGTCCCAGCGACTGACCCTGGAAGTGACTATTCATGAAAACCCCTCCCCATCCATGCCCACAGCGGCATCTGAGTTTGCCACCCTTGAATGTCAGCATGAGCAGACTGGACTTTGGCTCTGTGAGGCCTAAAGATGGTGTTACAGGATCCCCAGGTGTTAAAAACCATTAACACCCTGGATGAGAAAGCCCTTGGGCTGAGTGGAGAGAAAATGTTGTTTCTGAGGATGACACAGAGCCTATAAGTAGCCTTAGAGCCAGGTGAGTGCTGACACTGCTGATCTCACCTAGGCTGGGAGTCCTCGTGGGCTGGGCATGTTTCAGGTCATGGCTCAGTCCAGGGACTGTCCCTCCCTCTGATGCCACAGTACAGGTAGGGATGACTTCATAGCTGAGCTTGTGGGAAAGATAGTTTTCTCTGGCTCAGGCAGGAAGTAGTTTTTCATTTTTCCAAAGAGGGTGGAAGGAGTGACTTGAGTGAAGGAGGCTGGTTCTCAGTTCAGGGGCCTGGGGGTAGAGGCATTGTGCCATCAGTGGTTCCCCAGTGCCATCCAACAAGCCTCCCCAAGGCCCCTCCCCAGTTGCAGTCAATATTGTAGCCTTTCCTTGAAGGTGCCCTGACCTTTCCCAGCTCTGGGCTGGCTTTGGCTCATCCCCCTCTGGAATCTTGAGGGTCTCTGTCCCTCAAATTCAGGTGTCTCCAGGTTGAACCCCAAGGAAGAGGCCATCTCCCCTGTCCCCTGAGTTCCACAGCCTGGCCTAACTTCTCTGTTTCTATCTTGCTGTGTTGTCTAAGACTTGTCTCTCTTGCCCTCCTCACCCTGTCCCCAATTACGAGCTCCTGATGACAGGGAGAAGGGTTTGACATATGCAATAAACCCTCATCTTGGAGTCAGATAGACTCCCAGCTTCAACATTCCACCCTTGGGCAATTCATTCCCCTGGCTCATTCCGCTGGAGCCTTGCTTTTTCCATCTGTAACATGGACCTGCCTTGCAGGCTGTGCAGGAGAGCAGGCAGCTGGAGGCTGGGGAAGGGCTCTGAGAACTAAAGTGTTACATACTTGAAGGCCACTCATACCTGGGGCAGGGCTCCTCATGTTTCATTGGGTGGGGGGTAAACTGAGGCTCCAAGAACAGGCTTGAGGAACTGCAGAGCACCACTAATCTACTTGGCGTGGCTAAGGGCTATGTGAGCTGACGGGTGGAGTGGGGACTCCGGGGTTCTCCTGGCCCTCGGCAGTGCTTTCCTCTATCTGGGCCTCAGTTTCCCATCTGGAGAGTGCAGGTATCAGCCCAGATGCTCTCTCAGGGCCCCTGGCTGTTGCTCATTTACTGCAGGCCTCCTGTGCCTCTTTGGCCCCCGTGAAGCCCGCATCAGCGTGTGGGGTAAATCCCCTTCACTGTGGTTCCTTGCAGTTCCCTGTCTCTTGTCTTGCTTGTTCACTTTCCCTCGCACTCCCTATGGAATGGCCCCTGTGCTGTTAGCTGGAGGTGCAGGTGCGGCTTCGGAGTGCGTAGGGGTAAGGAGGGGGACAGCAGCCAGATTCCCTGATTGTTGGGGACTAGGGCCATCGATCTGTGGGGTTGGAGAGGGGGAGTCAGTGCCAGTCCTGGTGGAGGCCTGGAAGCCTGGTGGGAGAGTGAGGGGCCCAGGCTGAATCTCCGGTCTTGCTGGAAAAGAGCCCAGTCTCCAGAAGCAGAGGAGGCAGGCCCCGCCAGGCAAGCAGGCCTGGAGGCTCCATGGGAGGTGTCTCTGCCCGTCTCTTCCTGCCCATCTCTAACCCTGCCTTTGGTCACCACCTTCTTTTACTCTCAGGGCCATTGTCTCTCTCATTCTCTCTTCAGGGCCAATGGGGCTAGGGACAGCTCAATGTAGATTTTTGTTATATTCAAATAAAACCATATAGATGCTCATATTTTGGAATTAACCACGTTTTATCCTTTTTTTCCATTTTTGTTTTCATCTGCTGGGACCCTCACAAAGTGGAACCGGCCTTCCTTTGGGAGGTCATGTCTGTCCTTCAGGTCTGTTCCTTGACCCCACTGGGGGAGAGTTCGAGGGACTTCAAGTTCCGCGGACCAGCCAGCCTGGCTGCGCGGCCAGCGGAGAGGCCCGGAGGGGGCGGGGCGGGCGGAGGCGGGGCCACGAGGCCCATCGGCCAATAAAAGCGGCGACGCGCTTGTGCCCCAAACTCTGCCCTCCGGACTCACGGGATTCTCGCTGTCCTTCGTTTTTGCCGACACCGCTGGTCTCCCCAGACCCGCGCCTGCCATGCTGGCACTGCGGTGTGGCCCCCGCCTGCTCGGACTGCTCCCGGTCCCGCGCTCCGCGCCGCGGCGCCTCCCCGCGGCCCGCGCCTGCAGCGGCGGCGGCACCCGCAACCCGTCCTCCTCTTCCGGAAACCCGCTAGTGTACCTGGACGTGGGCGCCGACGGGCAGCCGCTCGGCCGCGTGGTGCTCGAGGTGAGACCACTGGACCGGACCTCTCTGGACTGGGCGTGGGGAACGGTCCTGGCAGGGCCCTGGACCCCTGCTCGGCGCTGAGTCTGACTCCCCGGGTGATCTTGCCGCCCCCTCCTGGGCTCTGGGCCCCAGTTTCCCCCTCTCCCAGGGTCATCAGATTGCCCTCCACTGGTCTCCCCTCGGAGCTTTGGAGTACTGGAGGCGGGAGGGGAGGAGGTGTGGAGGGGAGAGCTCAAGGTCAGATTGCGGGCGGAGAGGGCCGGGCCCCGCCGGCGGCCTCGGAGTAGGGGAGGGGTCGGCCTCGCGGTTCCGAGCCTAGAGTCGGGCTGCGAGCCCACGTGGGCGTCGGGGCTAAAGGGCCGGGCTGCGGGCCTCGGCGGGCGCTCGCCTGGAGGCCTTTCCTTACCTCTGAGCGGGCCCTGGCCCTGCTCCTGCCAACCGGCTCTCAGGTTGGGCTCTGGGAAAAGGGCAAAGGTGGTTTCAGGCCCGCCTCCTCGCGGGCGATGCGGCCGGGTAGGCTCTGGTCACCAGGTGGACCCCGAAATGGCCCTCCTGAGAGTTGGAGCAGTGTGCTCGGAGCCCTTCATCCCAGCTCCAACCCCAGCCATCTTCCTGGGGGCGACACTCAGCTTTTGCCCCTGACTCCTGGTCCTTTTTGAAAAGCAAAGCAAGAAAATATTAGGAAAGGTAACAGAAGGAAGCTAAGGTAATGGAGAGAAGCTGTTCACGCCACAGCCTTCAGGCCCGTCCCCATTTTCAGCAAAGGGGCCTCCGTTAAGCCTTAGTTTTCTCTCCTGGAAAATGGAGGGCTCTTGAAGCTGGGAGGCAAGAAGTGGCCTTGATGGGGCTCCAGCCTCTGCTTTCCCCCCACCCTTCCTGCTGTCTCGCAGCCGCAGCTCCCCATCTGAGCATGGAGAGCACGGACTGGTTCCTCCCAGGGCCCCCGTCTCCTCCAGGCCCTGAGTCCCTGTTGCTTTGGGCCTCCTAGTAGTAGCTCTGCCAGTTCTGCCCCCACTCCCCGTAGTAGGCCAGGATGACATTAGGCAACTTCTCCCAGCCTTGGATTCAGGAAGCAGCTGGCAGAAGTGATAGCTGCTTAGCCTGCCTCCTCCAGAGGGTTGAGAGTAACAGGACTGGAATGGCAGGCCATGCTTCCTCAGCCTCCTTGGCTGCTGTGGGGGTTGGTGGTCAGGAGCTTCCTTCCTTTACTTGCCTCTGGACTGATTGTCTTCTCTTGGCCCTCTTCTCTCCCTCCAGCTAAAGGCAGATGTCGTCCCAAAGACAGCAGGTAAGACAGGGCCTGGGGCCTTCTGAGTCTGGCCTCCATGGGAGAGAGGGGCCAGGCAAGGCTGGTGTGTATGAGGAGTCAGCACACAGAGACTGATGACCAGATGGGAGTTCCATGTGTGGCTCAGCTGCTGGGTACCCAAGGCAGCCTTCTGTCCCTCCCTGAGCCTCAGTACTGGCCCTGCCCACCTGACAGGCATAGCCTCAGAATCAGGAAAAGGTACAAAGAAGTTTCCCCTAGGATAACTTCTCTCCTAGTACCTGAAGGGGCAGGGTTGTGGCTACACAGCCCTTAGACACCCTGCCCACTGACCTGGTTCTAGAAGAGCCACTAGCTTGTGTTCTTGCCACAGTGCTTGGATGCTGAAGTCAGGGAAGGAGAGGACTTGTCCCAGGTCACACAGTGAGAGCTGGCCCAGGGGGTGGGCCTAGGGTCTTTATCACTCTCTGCTCACCTCCTGGGGGCTAGAGGGGCAGCTGGCTAAAACCAGCTGTGACCCTGGAGTTGAGGCCTGGCCCTCTTGAACAGTCTTTATCACTCTCTGCTCACCTCCTGGGGGCTAGAGGGGCAGCTGGCTAAAACCAGCTGTGACCCTGGAGTTGAGGCCTGGCCCTCTTGAACTGCATCTTCCTCCAACCCTCAGAGAACTTCAGAGCCCTGTGTACCGGGGAGAAGGGCTTCGGCTACAAAGGCTCCACCTTCCACAGAGTGATTCCGTCCTTCATGTGCCAGGTACTGCAGCCCTGTTTGTGCCCTGGGTTCCACTTCTCTAAGTGAGGATAATAACGGGGAACCTCTTGGGACTGTTAGGATCAACAAGTGAGCTCGTGCCTGTGCCTGGAAAGTTCTGAATGGGGTGGGGGTGAGGGTGGGGGCAACTCTAATTGCTCTATTGGCCTGGTCTCACCCTGAGAGGCTGTGGCTTGCCTGGGCTGCCATAGCTCTTCCCTGCCTGGAAGCAGCAGGGCCAGTGGCAGGACGGCCCCGCCTCTCTGGTTGGGGAAGCTGAGCCTGTGGAGGGAGACCTGGCATTGGAGGTTGGTTGGGCATGGTTCAGGGGTAGATCTTAAGGCTTTGGAGGACCACATATTCAGACAATCTGATCATGTCCTGCTGAGCACTTGGTGTGAGAGATAAGGGTGGCGGGGAGAGGACATGCTGGTCTGTCCTCAGAGCTTCTCTGTCCAGTTAAACGAATATGTTCTATAGTCCTGTGTCCTACCTGGTTTTTAAAAACATTAGTGTTCCTGTGTCAGAGGTTTTGAGGTAGGCGTTGAACTTCTCCAGGGGTCAGGACCCAAGCTATGTTGGGGGTGTTCTCTGTTAGGTCAGACCCTGCTAAGACAAGGGTTAATGTCCTGAAGCCAGCAGAGGCAGGGGCATGGATGTCATGACCTCTTTGAAGTCCTTTCAGCCCGGAATTCTCCCCTCATTCCCTCCACCCTGACCTGGTGGCTGTTGTCGTATCATGGTGAGTGGCAGTGGGTTAGGCCTGGGCCTGCTGACGTGAATGTGGCAAATGCCAGGAGTGTCAGGGAGGCTGTGGCAGTGGGACAGGCCTGGCTGGGCCCTGTGGCTTTCTGCCGCAGAGCCTCCCAGCTCTGCCTAGAAATGAAGCAGGAGCTGACGTGGATGTCCTGGGCCAGGCTAGGTCTTCCTCTGAACAGCTGCAGGCAAGGGCAGGGACTTCTAAAACTGGAGGGCTCTCTGAGGCATGAGGTGGCAGCAGTGGGAGGCCCAGGCCAGGGTTTAGAATAATCCTTCTCTGGGGATACCTCATTGGCATTTGTGGGTATTTCAGCTGGGCTGGTCAGGTCACCCTCTTACCTGAGGATCCCATCTCAGGAAAGCAGCAATCTGACCATGGTTGGGGGCTTGGGCTGCAGCTCCTGGTGGAAGCCTCAGGCAAGCCATGAGGAAAGATGCCAGCCCTGGGTGGAGTCTTTGCTGGGTCTGTGAGGCCTGGCAAACCCATTAGGCCTGGTAAGGGGAGAAGCTGGGGCAGGGAGGGGGGCTTATCATAGAGAACTGGCTCTATATTAGCTGTTGCTGCTCCCACAGACCAGATGTGGGAATGGGGGGCCCTGGCCACCTCCCTATTGACCCTCCAAAAGTTGTGGGTAGAAAATTCTAGGTTATTAAGAATCATCTCAGAATGGCCTTTAGATCCTTTGGGGATCATTTAAAAACTTACTAGACAAAAAGTGAATCATTTGGAAATCAGGGAAGTTATTGTAGCAGAAAATACTTAAGCTTTATTTTATTTTTGTTTATTTTCCATATTGTATTAGTCCCTATATCATTGGGTTTTTTTTTTTTTTTACCTTTTTGCCTGAGTTGTTGCTGTCTGGATGGGCCTTGGGTGGGTTGGGGGCTGCGTCCCAGCAATGCAGTGGTGCCCTCCCCACCCCTACCAGCCCCAGTGGACGACCACTCAGAAGGTGCTCTGCTCTCAGGCAGGTGACTTCACCAACCACAATGGCACAGGAGGGAAATCCATCTACGGAAGCCGCTTTCCTGATGAGAACTTCACACTGAAGCATGTGGGCCCAGGTGAGTGGGGACTGCTGGTCCCTGTCAGAGTGCCCCAGAGCTTTGACTCAGCCTCTGCTCTGCCTGGCAAGCCTGGGAGGCTGCAGTCTGCTAATTGATTGTTCAGTATCCGATGATACACCTTCCTTCCTTCAGCGGACTGAGCCTTTAAGTGAAGCCCCAGCATTGTGTCACCTTTAAGACCCAACATGCAATGTGGAAAAGCCTAGGTGTCGGGGCTGGGGACGCTCTGGCTCTACCACGGAAGGCTTCCACAAGGCCTTCCTCTCTGTTGCAGCAAAGGCGGGCAGGCTCTGGGGAGCTTGTCCTCTGGGCCCTGGTTCTCCTGCGAGCTTCAGGATCCTCAGACCCAGATGTCCTTGGTGTGGTTTGAGCTGTCTGCTCTTCCGAATGACTTGCTAGGTGAGATGCCTCCTGAGGCAGCGTGGCTCATTCCTGCTTGTTTCTGCAGGTGTCCTGTCCATGGCAAATGCGGGCCCCAACACTAATGGCTCCCAGTTCTTCATTTGCACCATAAAGACAGATTGGTGAGTTCCCTGCCCCTGGCTGCAGGCCCTCTGGGAATGGGGGTGGGCTTGAAGCTGGAAGAGGGTGGGTGTGTTCTCAGGGCAAGATAGTCTGTGACTGGACGGTCTGCTCTGGCTTGGTGGCCCTCACCTGGGCTGTGAGTCTCTCTGAGGAGGAGAAAGTTCAGGAAAGCACTGAGGAAGAATTTGGGTTGTCCTTGCAGCTCTGCCTTTTTTAAGCTTCCCATTCGTGCTATCAGCTGGCATTTTCTCAGTGTGTTCTGCACACGCACTAAAGGGGTTCTTTTAGCAAATACATTTGGGAAATGCTGCGAACATATTAGGCCTCCAGATGACCTGTAGGGAAGCCTGTTTGCTCGGTTCAGCCTGTCATTTCTCTGGCTTACCTCCACCTCAGAGTGCACCTTGGGGAACACAGCAGGCATTTGAATGTCATAGCAGATTTCTCATCAGGCTGTCATTTCCACATGTCCATGGATTTTAGGGATGTGTTCCCTGGTAAATTTTCTACTATCTAGTAAGTTTCTCTGCCCAAAGCCCCCTATGACCTATCCCTGAGGCATCTGTGGCTGAGGGACAGACAACAGCTGGCTGGGAGCTAAGATTTAATAAAGCTCATTTCTGAGGACTTTGTGGAGACCTGGGTGGTGGGGAGATATTATAACCACCTCTAGGCCCAGGCCAGAAAGGACATAGCTGTTGGGCTGGGCAGGTTGTTGCTGGCTCTGCCTGCTCTTTGCTTCTTCCATGGAAGCCCCAGTGGCTCCTGCAGCTCTGCCCTTGGCTGTAACCAGTCTCAGCCTTACTGGCATGGGACTAAACCCCCTTTTAGATGCTTGGAACTCTCTCAAGTTGAGAGCTGCTCGGGATTTGCATAGTTTCTCCACAGTTGTCATCTTGGCTCTTACCTTATAATTCATGGCTTAAGACAGTTCCATTTACACAGACCTCTTATTTCTTCAGAGTAGTCAGTATCTTAATATCTCCCTGTGCAGAACTAGAATGATCCCCTTTTCATAGATGAGGTCACCAGGATTCCAAGGGCAAGGGCACGGGCATGCAGACTGCGAGGCAGAACATGCCCCAGAAGGGAGGCGTTCTCCAGGCTGTTTAGCAGAACTCAGCAAAGCTTGACACCAGCACTTTACAGGGTGGGTCTGGCTTTTCAGTGTGGGTTCTCTTCAGAATGACTGTCTTAATCATTCCATGGCCAAATGACCGTGACATTGGGTGACATTGCAGTCCTCTTACTCTTACCTGGCTCGCCTCACAGGTTGGATGGCAAGCATGTTGTGTTTGGCCATGTCAAAGAGGGCATGGATGTCGTGAAGAAAATAGAATCTTTTGGCTCCAAGAGTGGGAAGACGTCCAAGAAGATCGTCATCACAGACTGTGGCCAGTTGAGCTAACCTGCCGCGGCCAGGGCGCTAGACCAGTAGCAGCGGCCATGTGTGCTGACTCAGCCAGGGGGCCGCCTCGGGCTCCCAGCAGAGGTGCCTGGAAGAGTTGGCTGTGCCCACCCACTGTCACTGTGTGTGCTTGAGGAAGGCTCAGGAATATTGGACCTCCACAGGACTCACCAGACTGCTTCCCCAACATCTGCCCTTCCTCACAGCCCCATTTCTGGACAACTGACCTGGACATCATGTCCCCACTCCTCATCAGGCATTGCCTGTGGCGGCCCAGACCACGTTTACCTGTTCCTTGGACCATGGGGGGCACTGATGGGCTGGTTTCAGATGCACATCTCTGCCTTTCCCTTGACCAAGGAGGAGAGCTGTTGTGATAAAAGGGCAGTTGTATCTGTTTAATGTTGTCTTCCTAATTGGAGTAACTTAATTAATGAGATTTCCTGGAGGTGGAACTGTAACACTAACTGCCCCCTCCTGTGGATTGACCTGAGTTGGTGGCACAGACCACAGAACCCCAGAGCTTTGCCTCTCGAATAGCATTGGGGCTTCTGTGAAGGATGCCACCGCCGAGGCCTTTTATCCCAGCCACTGTGAATCCCGTTGGTTTGCTGCTGTTTCTGAGGAGAGTTGGGGTAGAAACAGATGCACCTGGGAACAGAACCCTGCAAGCTGTGCCTAGTGAGTGTGAGTTCCTGAGGTGAAAACAGGAATGGCCTGTGAGTGCCATGTGCTCTGGAAAAAGTTGGTGTGTATTTTCTGGTGAGCTTTGATTTTCCTGTGTCTAATTACATCTACTGATTATGTGTATGATACACTTCTGGAACATTTATTTGTGCTCACTTTAAATGTGAAAATAAATCTTATTTTCTATAAAAGACTGTGTCTGGTGGTGTAGGAAGCAAGTATTTGGAGCCAACCTTTATTGAATTACTGCAGGTCCTGTGCTATCCTGAGGGCTTTTACATAGATTGTCTCATTTAATCCCCCAGCAACCTAGGAGGGTATGATTGTCAACCTGTTTTACAGTTAAGGAAACTGGGCCCACTCCAACTGGCCTCTGAACCCTGGCCCCACCCTGAATCCCAGCTCTTTCTCGGTGACCCTGAGTCACCATTTTCTTCAGCTGCATAGTGGGATAACGATGTGAACCTCATAGGGTGGTGGGGGTCAGATGCAATGCGCATAAAGTGCATATCACAGTGCCTAGCACATCATTTTAAGCACTCTGGAGTGACAAGGTAATAGCATTTCCGTGAGACAGGGTCTTAGAGGAGAAGGATCTGTGATTAAGGTCAGGCAGTGACTCTATTCTAGATGTGCCATTTAAGTTTGGAACTAAGTTCTAGGTGTTTCTGAATCATAGGGAAGGCAGGTTAGGGGATGGGAGGAGGATTAAGAACTTCTTAAAAAGCCAGGGGCTATACTGTTTGAACAATAGAATACCCACAATCTAGTTACTGGTGTAGAGAGTATTCTTTCACACTGGATTCCCAGATTATATGAGATTCCAAGTCCGTAGTCAGATTCTGAGGTCAGGGTGCTGGAGCTGCGTCAGAGAGAGCATGGGGTTCCTTGTGTCAGGTTTTAGGAGGTCACAGGTTGTGTGGTCCCTGAAGTCACAGCTGGAATTGGGTCACTGGGAGTCACGGAGAGTTCCATGAAGTTAGGGTTGAGCTGCGTGGATTGGGAGCTCAGCTGGCCTAGCAGTTTCAACAATTTTCAAGAGCCTTAGCGGGTCTCAGAGTTAAATAAGGGGGAGACTGGGGCATGGGTCTTTGAATCCCATTTTTAGTCACAGATAACCTCCATTCTTACTGGGATACTACAAGGGGTTTCATTTGAAGAATGGGATCTTGAGCCAAATAATAACTGGTAATCATTCAACCAGCCCAAGTTACAGTTATAGATGGGCAAACTGAGGCCCCAATAGTAGCCATGATTGCTCAAGGTGACCCTGTGAGTCAACTGGCAGAGCAAGGGCTAGAACCCAGGACTTGCCAATCAGCGGGCTTTCTGCTGGAGGCCTTTCCGAATGCACAGATACCCTTTGTCCCCAGACCTGCACATTCAGAGCTCTTCTGATTGCTGAGGTCAGAGCCATGCCTGCAGTCCCTGCGGGGTTTTCTCTTGACCTCTGAGGACTCTAAGGAGGCAAGGGTGCTGTTGACAAGTTGGAGGGACAGCCACTTGAGGTGTGTCCTGCTGGCCCGTGGTGATTTCTGAGGGGGTCTCAGGGTCACAGAGCCTGTGGGGCTTGTTTAATTCTCAGAGCACTTTCTTGTCTATGAGGAGTGTGTGTGTCCCTCCATCCAGAGGAGTCTTGTATGGGGTAGGAATATGGAATATGCAGGAATTTCCTAAAAACTGAGTTTGCTGAAGGTGGGGCCACTCACTGCAGTTCTCTTCTGAGCACTGTGCACAAGGCCCTGCTCCTGGTCTTACATAAAAAGGGAGCCTAAGTAAGATACAAATAAGATACTGACTTACTGCCTGCATGTGGTTCCTAATGCATGAATGAGGCAGTGAGTCACACGTACTCTCATAGCTATAATCATGTGATGTCATGTGAACATGGTGTGTTTAAATACCTGAAGTATTTTTCTGAGTAAACACATGATAACTTCTCAAAATGATTTCATTGAGGTATAATTTATATAGTAAGATTCACACATTTTAAATGGATAGTCAACAACTTTTGACAAATTCATACACTGAGCACTGAATTTAGAGAACATTTTCACCTCTCCAGATACTCATGTGCCCCTTCTCAAGCAGCCACTGAATTCTATCACTACAGATTAATTTCACCTGTTCTAGGATTTTGTATAAATGGAATCATGCAGGATTTACTTTTTTGTCAGATTGACTTCTTTTGTATGGCATGTGTGAGAATGTAAGAGAATTTTAACACAATCCTGGGCTCTGTAGAATGTTGCTCCATGAAAAGGTCTGTCTGTAAATGTTTCCCAGGTCTGGTCAGGACTAGAGCAGTTCTTCTAGGAATCAGC